TAAATTGTCCCTATATTCTCCTGGGCTAAAGTGATGTTCTTAAACTTCGCATGATTTTTCTTCTTTTGGTTGTCGTACTAGTTGGTTTAATAGAGTATGGCATAGCATTGAACCCTAGATGATGAATGTGGAGAGAACCGTAGTAGAAGCAGGTGAAGGTGTTGGGTCCAAATTAAGGTGACCAACTCAAGTAATAATGGTTCAAACATGGCTTACAAGCTACACCAGTTGTTATTTTTGCTTCTTCTTTTGTTTGGTATGCCAGCCACTACATTTCTAGGATCGATCCCAAACATGCTTTTATGATCCCTACCAGTCCCAACAATAACCTTAAGCAATGGGGTAGTCATTACTGTTATATTTAGACGGACCAAGCCACCTAGCTAGGTTTTTTCCAATACAAACACATGTAAGTGCGTTAGGCACATGGATCCTCACCAAAGCGTGTCTGATATAAATATGGATTTAATGATGTTGCCATTTCTAGCATTCGTATATACATAAGTACGTATGTACATTCATAACAAGACTACAATAATTTTTTTTATTAGTTTTTTTCTATTTTTTTAATATATATTATAATTTATACTAATTATTCCATAAATAATATAAAATTTGTCAGTGACAATATTATAAAATTTGTCCATGTCACCGTACCAAAAACAACAGAAATCACTTTTCATTATGAGTCGAGAGGATGTTAGATTTGAGATGGAGATTCAGGTTTAAATGCACTGGTAAAAGTCGTGGAAATAAAACGCAAACCTACTAGCTAGCAACTAGGGGAGGTGGGTCCCACATCAGCATGCTAATACTTGGGTTTTTGTGGATGCATGGAATGGTTTTCCTTGTTTTAGACATTGAACTTGTCGTAAGAGACGAAGCTCAGTCATTGATTAAAATTTAAAGGTTTTAATTTAGCTAAAACATGATAATTAAAATATTAGAGGAGTTCAAATGCCTTTTTTTTAAGGTCTCTATTTAATTTTCCTTTTCTTTTGAACATTTATCTCCTTCATGTTTTTGAGAAGGTGCGGTTATTAGTTAATTTTCCAATATAAAATAGTCTTAATTTCCAAATAAAAAATGTCAGAATGAATTTTATTTTCTATAGTTTTCTACTCATTTTGTGTCTAAAATTAATTTTATTCCTTTTCAACAGAATGCATTCGTTTGACAATAATTGATTGCTACTAATTAATTAATACCATGATTACGCTAAACAAAACCTCTTAACAGGATGAGTTAAATATTGCATATGGCACAAACCATTATCTGTTCTTCTTTTAGGATGAATTCTTTTCAGTTTCCTCTCTTCTTCTTTCTTTTATTTTCTGTTTGGTTACCTTGACAATGAGCTAGATCATCATGCCACCAATTTCCCATCACGTTCAATCTATCCCACCCCATTAATTGCTGCAAATCTTAATTGATGATAGGTCTATCCCATGCACGTTCTCCCTGACAATAGTCACTACCTATCAATTAGTGATCACGTTGAGCTTGTACGTATAGCTAGGGAGTTCTAACTTCCAACTTACCATTCACAGCTCAGTCATATTCAATAGAGTTGATTTATATAGCTAATAGCTAGTGAATTAAGGGAAATTGTTGACTTGGATGTCACTTAATTAGGGCTAGTTCTGGTGTTAATGGTACTAATTACATAGTATTACAATTTTTGAAATTCTGCAGGAAGACTCTCAGGGAATGTTGTGATGACTGGGAATGTCAAACTTAATGGGAAGAAGAGGAGACTGGACTATGGCGGTGTTGTAAGATTCTAATTTCTCGTGTTCCTAAAAATAAATTAATGAAACATTATATATCCTAGTTCATCCAAATGTAAAATTTGAAGAAAATGGCATGATTACTTATTTCCTCGAGACTTATTTCTCTTCTAACACTGTAACTTTAATCAGGCTTATGTAACACAAGAAAATACACTGTTGGGCACTCTCACAGTAAGAGAGACCCTGACTTACTCGGCTCATTTGAGGCTTCCAAGCAGCATGGCCAAAGAAGAGATTGATGACATTGTAGAGGAAACAATCATTGAGATGGGTCTCCAAGATTGCAGCAATCGGCTAATTGGAAACTGGCATTTAAGAGGTATAAGTGGTGGGGAGAAGAAAAGACTAAGCATTGCACTTGAAATCCTCATTAGGCCAAATCTTTTGTTTCTTGATGAACCTACAACTGGCCTGGACAGTGCCGCAGCTTTCTTTGTAATTCAAACTCTTAGAAATATTTCCGGCGACGGAAGAACCGTCATCACTTCCGTTCACCAGCCAAGTAGTGAAGTTTTCACACTCTTTGATGACCTTTTCTTATTGTCTGGTGGTGAAGCAGTTTATTTTGGAGAAGCAAAGGTGGCAGTAGAGGTACAAGTGTATGGCCAATATATGATTTGATTTTCCTCTGGCATATTGCAATTAGAATTCGATATGTTTTCTCGCTTTTCATTTTATTAAAAAATATGCTATGTTATTCGTATCCTGTTAAATATCTCACACGCTCAAACTCAAAAGTACTGATTTCAATGAGAATTCTAAATTTGCATCTGAATCTAACCTGAAATGTTAATATTGCAGTTCTTTGCTGAAGCTGGATTCCCATGTCCAAGTAGAAGAAATCCTTCTGATCATTTCTTGCGTTGTATTAATTCAGACTTCGACCTTGTCACTGCAACTCTGATGGGATCTCAAAGAGTATGTGCAAGTGTGCTTTAGCAGTTTAGTTCTTGCTGTCTTCATTTCTGGAAAGAAAAAATTACAGAATTCGTTAGCCAGATCATGATGCTGTCCACCCCTTATACTTGAATTTTCTTTTTATACTACAATTTGCTTAACTGAATCATAATTCTTCTGGTTTTCTTTAACTGAAGGAAATTCAAAATCCATCAGATTCTTTGGCAAATTTGCCAACAGCAGAGATCAAGGCATCGTTAGTCAAGAGGTACAGGTCATCCGACCATGCAGTCAAGACAAGAGCTAGGATTCAAGAAATCTTGGCAATTGTAAGCGGCCTTTCAAACATTTCTGCATCCAGTACATATTAGCTCTGTTCTCCCTTCATCGTCCTTATCTCGTTCTAAGCATCCCTCAGTGATTTCAGTTCTCAGGGTGATCTCTTAATACATACCTTAACCGAAATTTATATATCTGTATTTTTCTAAGATTTGCCCTAAGTGCACATGTTTAGAAGGCATTGCAATCTTTAAAATCCAAACATTCTCTTACACCACTACCTACCTGTGAATTGCCAGACATGTAAGGAACCCTTTATAGTTTACGCAATGCTGCTGCATGCATGTAAGGAATCAACATCATACACGTTGACAGTACCGAAAAAAAGTATGCTAAATATTATTTCTGAAGAATTGGTTTTCATGGACATGAATTCTGTAATGCAGAAAGGGCTTAAGATTAATATAAGAGGGGAGAACCAAGCAAACTGGCGGAAACAACTTTCAACATTGACAAAGAGATCTTTCATTAATATGTGGAGAGACATGGGGTACTATTGGGTCAGGATTATCGTCTACATCTTGTTGTCTATTTGCGTCGGTACCATATTTTTAGACGTCGGAAAAGGCTATACTGCAATATTAGCCCACGGAGCTTGTGGAGGATTTCTGTCAGGATTTATGACATTCATGTCCGTTGGAGGCTTCCCTTCCTTCATTGAAGAACTGAAGGTAAACTATTCCTTCTGATGAAACTTAATTTTAGTGGAGTAATATGGCACCAGCTCGGTTTTAATTAAGCTTTCGCTGCTTTACGCAGGTTTTTTACAAGGAAAGGCTCAATGGATATTATGGGGTCGCTGTTTATGTACTGTCAAACTTCCTCTCTTCCTTTCCCTACTTGACTGTGATGTCATTTGGTACCTCGAGTATTACCTACTACATGGTGAAATTTCGACCAGAATTTTCAAATTTTCTCTATGTCTTCATTGACCTTTTAAGCAGCATAGCAACTGTAGAGAGTTGTATGATGACTATTGCTTCACTAGTCCCCAACTACCTAATGGGATTCGTTATTGGATCAGCATATATTGTAAGAACAACCTTCTAATTGATCATTTTCTGTCCATCGTTCTTCCTAGAAGTTATTCATGGTTTCTATTTCGTTGGTATTTGTGTGCAGGGAATCCTAATGATGACCTCTGGGTTTTTCCGCTTGCTGCCTGATATTCCCAAGGTCTTCTGGCGCTACCCAATTTCTTATATCAACTTTGGATCATGGGGATTGCAGGTAGGGCACAAGCAAGAATATTGAATCCTAATCTTTATCTATTTAACACTTGATATTTACGATTCCTATAATGGGAAATGCAGGGGGCATACAAGAACGACATGATTGGGTTGGAGTTTGATCCTTTAGTACCTGGTGGTCCAAAACTAAAAGGAGAAGAAGTTCTCACAACCGTGCTTGGTATTAGTCTTGATCATTCAAAATGGTGGGACCTGGCCGCTGTTCTGATCATTCTCACTGCTTTCAGAGTTCTCTTCTTTGCCATTCTCAAGTTCAAGGAGAGAACCCTCCCCGTGTTTCGGACTCTTTATGCCAAGAGAACTCTAAAGCATCTCAAGAAGAGGCCATCTTTCAGGAAGACTTCCTGTTCACCCTTCCCTTCAAAAAGGCACCAACCTGCTCATCCTTTGTCTTCTCAAGAGGGTCTCAACTCTCCAATTCCTTACTAGTAGCCAACATTTCGCACATGGCCACGCTGTGTTCAGGCCTTGCCTGGAATCATATAGAAAGTTATGATAAGGGAAGAGAGAACAAACAAATCATTCATTGACTTGCTTTCTTAAATTATTTAAAATTTCTCCAGCATTTTTGTCTTCTGCAGACAGGGATTAATCAGAAGTTGCTTTTACAATGAATTTCACGTTCTAGCTATTCAAAACCTTCCTTGGACGATGTCTTGTTCTCATGCGTGAAAAGATGTGTTTCGTTCGAAATGGTGACAGGTGGTCCACCGTAACACTTTTATATATCAATAATCAGAGTAATTTGACAACTTCTATCCGGTTCCATCATGTACCATGGAACCAAGTTGCTGAACTCAGCACAGCCAAACTCATCCAAATTAAATAGAAATGGGCCAAACTGGCCAAACATTGGAAGGCTAGAAGAAGCTCTGCATCCACAATTGAGAACCAAGACTGACATAGCTTTTTTTTTTTTTTTTTCACAACAACGAGGAACTTACTTGCAACTCATTCAGATTCAAAATATATCTCATGCACCCTACTAGATCAAAAAGAGAGGACACCTGATTACACACCTGTCTTAATAAGCAAGAGAACAGCTGCGGGTTTAAAAAGAGAAGACTTATCTTATCATTACTGACCTTCTACACTTGTGCGTATGCTGTACGGTAACATAAGTCTATTCCCACTTCCCAGAAAAGAATATGAGTATCAAATTCACAAGTGACACGCTCTCAATAGTAGGAAGTATCAATTTTTTCATCACCAACAAATCCATGTATGGATGGAAGGAATTGGAATTACAATTAAGGGACAATACCACACCAGAACATCTAAATTCTAATAAAGAGCATTATAATGCATATATATATATATATATATATATATATATACCCTTCCTCGCCATACTTCTCCCTCAATGCCTTGTGCACTTCACTCCCATCAATATCACTAGAACCAAAACTATTTCCATCATATCCAACCGGCGCCTAATATTATGGGAAAGTAATCAAAATATAAAGTGACAACTGACAAGATTAAAAAATGAAAGAGAGAGAGAGAGAGTAAAGAAAACTGGTGCTGCCAAACCATGCCATTGAATTTCTAAAACTGGAAAATCTATCGACAAATAAAATATATGTCTTCACTGTTGGCGGGATTGTCTATTCACTAAATACCTAAGATTCTAGAAGATCCATCAGCACATACATTAGCTATATGACAACTGATGGCAGTCGTTCTTAAAATCTACAAGACACCCAACTCCCAACACTAATCATAGATGCTGAGGTGGCTGTCTGGGTAGTTTGGCCTCGACATTCATCGCTGACATTGGCTGATTATTTGCAGGATTTGTGGAAGGCATCGATGACATTGGTTGACTATTTGCAGGATTTGTGAGAGGAAGACGGCTGGTAAGAACAGTATTGATGGGAGGAAGGCTTCCAGTAGGACGAGCAGTATTGATGGGAGGAAGGCTTCCAGTAGGACGAGCAGTATTGATGGGAGGAAGGCTTCCAGTAGGACGAGCAGTATTGATGGGAGGAAGGCTTCCAGTAGGACGAGCAGTATTCATAGGAGGAAGGCTACGAATGCGAGAAGCAATATTTGTAGGAGGAAGGATTCCATTAGGTAGAGCAATGTTTATGGGACGAAGGCTTCCATTAAGAGAAACAGTATTTGTGGGACGAAGATTGACGAGAGGAGCAGGATTTCTGGGAAGACTAATTGACCTGACAGAATAGGGATCAAGAAATTGGTCGGCAATGTTACGGTGAGACCAGTTTGTCGTATTCAGAAATTCATCTTGGCATCCGTTTTGCCTGAATGACCAGCTGTCAGGATTAATATTGGAGAACATTGGGGCAGAACTTCCAATTGTCTCAGGCAAACTGGGTAACTGTGTATCATGCAACATCCTACAATAGTTAGGAGGAGCATGATAAAAGTTAAAAGCATCTGAGAATCTGCTTAGAGCAGTCTGCTGTGGGCTTAAATCATCCAACATTGCGAATGAATTGTCTAAAGAACCAGTACCAATGTCGTAGATCTCCCCAGCATAGTCAGCCTCCATACCAGCCAGATGATCATTTGTATTATGATCATGACCGTTTACGTAATCTTCATCAATGGACCCCGCAGAATCTTCCTCGTTTCTTTGTCGATTTCTAACATTAGTACTAACATTAGTACGCTTCTCATGTTTCTTGTAAATCCTGCACAGAACCCAGTCATCCAGCTGCATCAAAACAAAGAACTTTGGTTACTTATGTTAAGAATTTGTAATTTAAAACAAATGCTGTTATGTCAATTAGAGAGAGATGTATAGACGAAGATCCGTATTGTACCCTCATGTCATCTCGATGATTTCTGACTTGAGGAGGTGGATCATTCACTCTAAACTCATGCATTATCCAGTTGGTTTTGTCACCCCTTGGTGCCTTTCCAGTATAATAAACAAGTGCCTTTCTAAATCCGACAATAACTTTTTCTACAGTGGCATTCCTATCAGCTCCAACAGCAGCCTTATCATATGTAATATGCTTATCAGCTCCAGTGGCTTTCCAGTATCCACCACCGGCCGCTCGATTTGGTCTAGTTCCGTTCTTGTACTTTCTGTCCCTTGGTGTGAAGAAATACCATACTTTTTCACCGTAATGCTTGTATCTATCTATTGAGATTATAAACAAATAAAGTTTAGATGATCATGTGTTAATTACTTCAAAACAAACAAACAAACCAAAAAAAAAATCTTAACAGGGTTTAGGATTAAAAAAAAAGAAAAAAGAAAAAACCAGCCATTGACAAAAGAAATTATAATGTAATAACCAAAAGAAAATAAAAATGCTTGAAGCAAAGAATCTGCAAGAGACTCGGGACCAAAAAGAAAACAAGTAACAATCAAAAGAAAAGAAAAGAAAATGGTTTTTATCAAAGAACCTGCAAGAAACTCGGGATCGTGTTGATAGAGAGTGACTTCGAAAATCCTGTTCCTAGGCAATGGCAGTCCTCTCACTTTCTTGGACAAGTAATGTAACACTAGCTCATCATCATGAGGACAAAATCTATATCCAGGTGGGAAGCTCCTGAAATAATGATTGTCATCGTGTTTATTAGAGAAACTAGGTTGTGGTGGTGGTCGAGTAACGATAGAAAGTGGCAGTGGTGGTGGAGGTGGTGAAGCAATGGTAGAAGGTGGCTGCGGTATTACTGGTGGTGGTGAGTTTGAAGTACTCAGAATTTGGGGCGGTGAAGCAGGGGGATTTGAAGAGATGTTTGATGCTAATGGAGCAGCAACAGGATGCTGTATATTCGGCTTTGATTCCTCAATGCTAAACTCCATAGGAGGAGTCTCTGAAGAATTTTCTTCGCCTGACGACATTACTCTCAACACGATAACAATTTTGACTCAAACGATTTTGCTATGTATTGTAGTTGCGAAGGGAATCAAAAGCATATATATGTGTGTGTGTGTATTTTTTATGGCAGATTAATTTTTTTTTTTTTTTTTGAGATATATCTGAAAATTAACACTCCATGATCTTAACTACTTGATAAACTCTATCTTTAAAAAGAAATTTATCTTATTTGATTTAATATATATATATTTTAGTATTCGTGTCGGACGTGTGACAATATACAATGACAATGATCACTAAACAGATAGAATAATAAACAAAGAAGAATAGTAGCAATACTCTCTCTAACACTCTCTTTTAAACACTTCAATAAAAGTGTTCATGTCAAATAATAGCAAATAGAAGATAACTAATATCCCATGTTTTCAGGATGTTTTTAAATTACAACAAATCTCATATTATCTAAAAGTCTAAACTATCTTTTATTTATTTATTTAACTTTATTATTTGTTTCTAAAACAAAATAATTTGTCAATCAGTTTCCAACTTTCTTCCCTCCGACCTAGATATCCCGATTCCAAATTCTTAAACATTAAAGAAAAAACTAAAAGATATCCCAATTAAAAAAAATTAATTGTTTTATAAAGAGAAGGGAATAAAATATGAAAGTGAATAATTTACCCCCTCTGTTGCTCTGCTTTGGTGTTGCCAGAATAGCTTCGTTTCTTGCAGAAAAAAAGAAATGAGATTGTTTAATAAAACTAAAGGTGTTATGCCTCACAGCAATGCCAGAGACTTTATTACAAGGATTGACATCCAACATTACAACTCTTTTTGATACATTTATTTGGGATGGTGAACTCAAAAAGAAAAAAATATTAATATTTAAGGTTTACTGTAGAGGATGCTAGCATAGACTCAACTTGGTATCAGAAGATGAATGAGCAAGATAAACTACCTTAGTTCTCCAGTACAAGAAAAAGTGTTATACTTTCAACTAAAAATGTGCGGGGATATATCAACTTTATGCATTGACAACTTTCAACATTGACAAAGAGATCTTTCATTAATATGTGGAGAGACATGGGGTACTATTGAGTCAGGATTATCGTCTACATCTTGTTGTCTATTTGCGTCGGTACCATAGTTTTAGACGTTGGAAAAGGCTATACTGCAATATTAGCCCACGGAGCTTGTGGAGGATTTCTGTCAGGATTTATGACATTCATGTCCGTTGGAGGCTTCCCTTCCTTCATTGAACAGCTAAAGGTAAACTACTCCCTTTGATGAAACTTGATTTTAGTGGAGTAATCATAGAGAAAGTTATGCTAAACAAATCATTCAATGGCTTGCTTTCTTAAATTATTTAAAATTTCTCCGGCATTTTTGTCTTCTGCAGAAAGGGATTGGTCAGAATTTGCTTTTACCAATGAATTTCACGTTCTAGCTATTCGAAACCCTCCCTGGACGATGTCTTGTTCCCATGCATGAAAAGATGTGTTTTGTTGGAAATGGTGACAGGTGGTCCACCGTAACACTTTTATATGTCAATAATCAGAGCAATTTGACAACTTATATCCGATTCGGTCACGTACCATGGAAAGGTTAAGTCATCTTTTTTTGGGATAAGATTTCATAGTTAATTTCTTTGCAGTTTGATGAAGCAATGTAAATCAACACATAAAAGCATCGTAATTTGGGCATGGATCGTTAAGCAATCTAGACGAGAAATAATAGCCAATGCCTGGCATTTCCCACGTTGTTTGAAGATTGCCGGCTGTACCCATGAGTCTAATTTCAAGAATGTGGTCGGCACTGCGAAGTCCAACAGTATTATTATTATTATTATTTATTTATTTTTCAGTGAGGAACATTCATTATTCAAAAATAATGCACAAAATAAGAGTAAAAATAATGCTGTAAGTATCTCCTAAACGATGATTGTGCATGCTGCCAAATACTAGTTCTTGCTGTCACTATCTTTGAACCCGAACCTTAATGTTACACAAATCATTCAAAGGTAAAATCAAGAATAAACAATTACATTATGCTTCCAACCACTACCTGCAACAACAGCATTATTGTATTAAGCAGCACCTGACGATCACCCGCATCCAAAAGAAGAGAGCTAATTAGCCAATGTTTTAGCTCCTCTTAATGAAAATTTCCATGTGATGACCGTGCCACTGTCCATTCTAAAATACCACTTTTCTCGGAGCCCAGGTGTGCCTGAAATTCTTTCAAGCAAATGCACAATTGAGTAACGACACAATCAAATGCTCGGTGACTGGACTTAAACTTCGTACTAGTGAAAATCAAACGACAACAGAATATGTGCTCATGCCATAATGTTGAACTCATAAAGCAAATTTAAGAATGCATCCAAGGATTCTAATACAGTCTGGTGCTCTCCTGTCCGATCAAAATGACAAATACAGTTGCTGGACAGTAATCTAAAGGAACGAACACTCTATTCAACCAAAAGACTGACAAACTGGCCATCACTGAAAAATAAATGAAGTTGAAACATGCTCATCATCTTCCAACTATAACAAAAGGACTTACAGAAACTACAGTGATTTATGAACAGCAAGCAAAACAGAAACTTGTATGATGCATAAGCCTTAAGCCATGATTTCTGAAACATCTAGCTTGTAAATAGGAATTCTGAAAAGGTATCACATATTCACTTCAAAAATGTGCAAATCAGTTCAGATATGCTGTTGTAACCTAATAATACTTCTCGTCAACAAAAACCAGAAATCCGTTACCAAGAAACACTGTTGAGGTGCCATCAGGCTTATGAAAAAAAATTACATCTCACAAGCAAAAATCAACTATTTTTTTTCTTATCTTCCATAAAAAAAATGTTAAGAGTTTACAGAAATTGCATCAGTTCATTTGTCAGCTCTAATATATCAGTAACTAAAATTATAAATAGAATGCTAAACTTAAATCAACCTCCCAACTCCACAGACAGTAAAGAAGTTACTGGCTAAGGTTTCTTCTCCTCGGTGACACCATTTTCAGCACGATTGTCAAACCCATGATAAGGAACATCAAACATAGGCTTGGGAACTGAACGTCCTCCAAAATCCTCTGGAAAGAATTCAAAGTCAGGGCCAAAGTTGAACTTGACCACACAGTTTGGCTGATTGGGGAGAGTGTACATTGAAGCAGCAGGGTAGTAACGACCACCAAATAAATCCTTGAAAGCAACACCTTGACATACTCCATTTTTGAAGAAAGATATCTCACTTCCTGCTCAAGAAAATAAATTTTAGTACACAGTTAATAGTAACATCCATCATATCGAACACAAATACATATTAGCGCACACAAATAGGGCATGGCTCAACCATGCTAATTTTAAAATAAGAATTTCAACAAGTGATCACCAAGTTTGTCCCCTAGCTAGACGTGCCCTGCCTAGCAACCCAAACACAGTATTTGGCACTTGCTATTACATCAATAAATTTGTTAGTTCTGTATAATATGCGCCCCAAACACACAGCATTTCACATAGTATTTCATCAATAAATCGGTGAATGCAAATTCTTCTTTCCAATAAATTTCATCGGTATTTCATCAGGCACGTCCATTCTATCAGAATAATAGAATCTAATGTCAAAGACACACTTCACATAAGAAAAATGTGAAAAACGACCTGTAGTTTCTTTCAGATCTCAAAAATGATCTGAAAGATGATTCAAAATTTACAATCTGGGTTACCATCAGCATTAACAAACCAAAACCGAATCAGATTTTGCAAAGCCAGATTCAAAAATTTCCAGCTGCTTGGAAAGGAAATCTAAAAGTCACAGACTGCAAGCATCATTTGGGTACCATCTCCACCTCATAAATCTAACTGTACAGTAGGACTTCCAGCTGCCTGTCCCATGTGGACGCTGAGCAGCAAAGGTTGAAACCTTTCCTTACCTACAAACCTAGCTGCACACTGCCAGAGAGAGGAGCTCACCTTGCCTGCATGTTAGTTGATCCAGCCTATCTTTATCTATGATGAAACCCCCACATGGTCTCCTGAGTGTAGACCACCCTTGATTGAAAAATAAAAACAAGAAAGTCTTCTCTCTTCTCCTTCACCTGGCATAACTGCCCCTACTTAAGACTTTGGGGTCGGGTAAACTAAAGTTGCAATTTCAATCACTTATTTTTAATCTGACATGTTCATACCACCCTTCTTGTACTCCAAGCCTACCGCAACCATTCCTTGAAACAATATCTAAGTTTTCACATGGAAGCCATTTTTGCTAAGAACTCACCTTCGTAAAACCAAAAGGCTATTCACTTCTTCATTTTTCCAGAATCAGAAGAGCAGAAATTAGAGGGTTGTGGGGTGTTGGTTAAAGAATAGAGACGATGTTACGCAACCCAAAAAAAAGCCCAAAAGGCCTCAAGGCAGAGATAGAAGAAACTACACTGTGGATAAACCAAAACATAGTTTAGGATGCTTGGTCTGAACTTTGGAAACAAGGACAGAAACCTGAGAAAACCATCATCAAAAGACGAGAATAATTCAGAGGAGAACTCATCTTGTCAACCATTCTCTACTTCCTATGAAGGCAAATCCCTCATCTATTTGGAAGTAGAAACATAAGCCTCAAATTCATTTGAAAAGAAAAAATACATACACTGACAGACAATATTCCAATGCAGTCACCATTACAAGAATGAGTTAGGGGCAATGCAAAAATATCCTTTTTGGTCTACAACTATGCAGACAAAATTTTAATGTTTCCTGAACTTTTAACTGTTTGTTTTGGAAACTAGAGTACACAGAACCTCCAGGAAGAACAACAGCATCAGGGAAGTGGCTATATGACTCTTCATACCACAGATTAAGACGCCCCTATTGTACATCTTGCTATCATTCCTAATAATAGTGAATTGGCAATAGCGTATATAATCATGTCACGGTACCCTAGATATCAGATATTCAGATCAGATAGTTCGGGTCCTAATTTATAAAATGACATCCATCCAGATAAAGAATCTGTGCTCGCCTAAAATTATTGAAAATTATCTGCGAGTTGGTGTAAGGAAAATTTTCAACATATCTTCAGAAACTAACAAGTAGATCCTATATTAGAAAATAAAATCAGGAGAGCCTTAAAAATGAGGGGTTTCAATTGGTAGCTCCTTATGCAATCCAATGGACAAAAGCATACAAGGGAATGCCTAGTCATTTGGAACTCACGAGTTCCCACAAGGTAACAGACCTATTTACTGAGAAAAGACTATAAATGCCATGTGCAAAGTAGGTGGTCCATCACCTCTTCTTAACCTATCTTAAGCTTCCACAATATCGCCAGCTGCATGTTTAATTTTGATCACAACACTTAAATTTCTGGAACTACGCAACACAAAAGGGGATGTGCTCAAAACTACCTCACCACTAAACTTATTGTGTCACAATTAGTGCAAGTGCAGGTAGCTTCAAGCTTCAAAACACTCCCTGCCATGCCGCCTCCACTCCCTCAGCAAATAAAAACCAAGTTGCTAAACTCAGCACAGCCAAACTTACCCAAATTAAATAGAAAAGGGCCAAACTGGCCAAAAATTTGGAAGGCTAGAAGAAGCTCTGTCCACAATTGAGAACCTATTCTGCTAGCATTCACTCCAAGATTGACATAGCTTCTTTTTTTCACAACAATGAGGAACTTACTTGCAACTCATTCAGATTCAAAATACATCTCAAGCACCCTACTAGATCACTTGATTAATTAATCCTGTATTATATGATTCCAGGTAGGTGTGCAGTGTGCTAACTATTTTTAGTCCAATGTATGCAACTTCTTCCAACTGATTACACAACTGTCTTAAAAAGCAAGAGAACAGCTGCGGGTTTAAAAAGAGAGGACTTATCTTATCTTATCATTACTGACCTTCTACACTTGTGCGTATGCTGTATGGTAACATAAGTCTATCCCCACTTCCCAGAAAAGAATATGAGTATCAAATTCAAAAGTGACACGCTCTCAATAGTAGAAAGTATCAATTTTTTCAACACCAACAAATCCATGTATGGATGGAAGGAATTGGAATTACAGTTAAGGGACAATACCAGACCAGAACATCTATATTCTAATAAAGAGCATTATAATGCATATTGCATATATATATATATATATATAACACTTCATAGTGACAGAATAATCCCAATCAAATTTATGAGGCAGGAATTTTCTTCCCACCCACACCATTATCTAATATGTGTTGCTAAAGGATTCTGAATTGCTTTTAGGAGGTAATGTCAACACATTACTTATTTCCCATCCCATTTACAATTACAGATTTCCAATTTCAAGCAACACTATAATTCAAATTTAAAGCAGCCTTCACTGCTAAATTATTGATGCTAATTCATCGAATTCTCATGTGATGCACACTCTCAACTGCAGAAAGTATCAATTTTTCTACCAGCAACATACCCTATGGAAGGAAGGAATTCGAATTACAATTAAGGGACAAACCCAAACATCTAAATTCTAATAAAGAGTATCTTAAAGCATATCTCATTAGGGGAAAAAAAAATTGTTAGTGACAGAATAATCATCCTTGAATCAAATCTATGAGGTAGGAATCTTCTTCCCGATCACACCATTAGCCAATATATGTCGCTACGAGTAGTTTTTAGTAAGTAAAATGCCAACACATCTACTTATTTTCCATCCTATTTGCAATTAAAAATTTCCATTTTCAAGGGACGGTATGGTTCAAATTGAAAACAACCCTTCATTGCTAAATTCTTGATGCTAATATAGTCCTGGTAATTCGTACAATCCTAAATTCTCTTATTCAATGCAAAGTATAATACAGGGCCAACAACCCCCTTAAACTCCTCCATGTAAACCATATCCAATGCCATCAAAATCAAACAAACAAATAACCTAAGGAGCTCCTTACTACATCAGCACATCACAATACACACGAGTTACAAGATGAAACACACGCTCAACAAAGAATGCAACAAAATAAGCAAAACAAACACATTACACAAAACAACAAAAAACAAAATCTCACCAGGAACAATCTTGGGTGGATCTTCCTTAGCATCAGGAGCACAAACATACCTCTGCCCTTTATACCAAACCAAATGAGCAGGTTTAGGAGTATACAATTCCCCCTCCGGCAAACTAATATAAAACCCAATAACATCCCCTTCTTTATACCCTTCCTCGCCATACTTCTCCCTCAATGCCTTATGCACTTTACTCCCATCAATATCTCTATACCCGAAACTATTTCCATCATATCCAACCGGCGCCTGCAAGTCCCCTTTCTCCGTAGACCACCCCAGTCGTGTGTGCCCGGTTTCTCCTAAACTAACCACTTTAATTTCAAAATACCAAGCTCCTTCAGATACACCTCTTGTAGCTCTCACCATTCTATACCCCTTAATACTCCCTGCACTCAATCTATCTTCGCTCAATTCGACCTTTTCTGCTTTATATACTTTAGATAAGCAAATTTTTAAGTCTGGGGTGTCGTCGCTTTTGTCAGGGAATCTTGGTACTGGAGTGATTAAAACAGTGTCTTCTGATGGTGTATTTTGTGGGTTTGGTTTTGTTTTTTTCTTGCCTTTGCGTGTGGATCTCGTAACCCATACATTATTGTTGTTCTTTTTCTTCGACTTCTTTTTTGCTGTTGGGGTGATTTTGGTTGGTTTCTTGAATTCGGTGGCTCCATTGCTGTCGTTATTGTTTTCGATTTCTGCTGCCGTCGTGGGTTCAGGTAGCTCTTGCTTTTGTGTCAAAGAGGAGAGTTGTTTTTGTTTTTTAGGAGGTGGGTCTTCTTCATCTTCATCGTCTTCAATGTCATCAATTTCTGTGTCTTCAATTTTGGGAGATTTTGGTGTGGGTTTCTCGGTGTCGTTTGAGGTCGTCGGGTGGTCTGATTCGGAGAGAGATTCAGAGGCTGATACAAAGGCGTCCTCTTGTTGAGGTTGTTGGTTGGCTGTTGTGTTGTCAATTGTTGTTGTTTCAGTGTCGTTTTGAGGTGGGTTTGCTCCGTTTTGGTGTTCCTCAAGTTCAATGGGACTGCTGGTGGTGGTGGTGGTGAAGGGAGGAGGACGGGTAGGAGAATTGCGGTGGGTGTTGCTGTTGTTGGGTGGTTGTTGCTGTTGTTCGTCTTCGTCTTCGTCTTCCTCTCTGTAGGTGGCTTGAAGGGAATCCATGAGGTCTGGGAGGTTTTGAATTGTGGGTTAGCAAAGGAAGCAAGGAGCGAAAAGAGTTTTGATAGACAGGGGGAAAGAAAAAGATAAATTACAAGAAAGGTGAATTAGAAGGACTATATTGTGATTAAATTGTGATACTTATTTTAAAGTTAGTTATTGGGCTTTGGGCTATTGGGTGGGTAGGTTTTTTAGTAACTCGACTGGGCTTTAAAATATTTTGGTGTTGCTTTGATTTCTCAGTTTACAAGTTACGGATCCAGCAAGCAGTATTTTTTTTTTTTTTTTTTCAAGGTGTTAAGGTCTTGAAAAAGATAGAGAGACAAGTGCGAAAGAGTTCAAGTTGATCATATCTATCAGATTTACAACAATCAGAATGGACATCATCAGCTCATCTTTGGGCAGAGCTATCAGTTTGTTTTCTTTTAATCTTCAACTAATATATTATTTGTTCTGTTTTTATTATATAGTTTCATTTGACAAATAAATAAAGTAGTATAATTCTGAACATAACTGAATAATGACTTTTATAAAATTAAACTGGTTCCTTTAGTTAGCATCCGTTATTTAAAAGTTAAAACACATTGGTTATAAAAATAAATAAATAAATAACGGGTTGCATTCTCATGTAATGGTCCTTTTAATAGAAAATTCAATTTTTGGACTTTTTCTATGGGCGGGTTAATATAGTAATATGGTTGCGAGCATGGAAGGGATGACTAGTGGTTTAGATTCACCTTAGTTAGAGGAAGGAAAAAAATCGAAGATGGGTCTATATGGGGACTTGACCAGTTGATCTATAGACAATACAAACACGTACTAGCTAGCCATCTGGCCAAACCCAGAAGGCAAAGAAGCACATGCAAACGAAGGGGTTTTGTTCTTGAAGTTACAATTTTGGCATGGTTCAGGAACGCCCTTTCTATGGTGGTCTACGGTTTTGGCAAGAGGCTTACGATTACTACAAATGAAAGCAAGCGGATTTATAAATGACATTGATGTGTTTGGACAGGAGTTATGTTTGAAATAATAAAATCACCAGCATTCGCGAGCTTGGATTTAAATTGTGGAGATCATAACATCATATTTTCTTCCAAAATTCAGACAAGAATTCTAAGTTGGCTTTCCGAAATTGTTCATGAAAAAACAGGCAGGTGGTGTTGTGAATACATAGTTGATGGAGACATTTTCGATATGTTAAATATTTTGGTTCTTCTGTTTACCAATAAGAAGACTTTCAGAAGCCTTTTGTGACATGTTAGCCCAGTTTCACAGCTTAAAAAGATTGTCCCTGGTAAGGGATGATCGGGGGATGTGGATTTGGTGAGGCAGCAATTGTGGACATGTCTATCGATTGCACCTTCCTTTCAACTAAACAGGTCAACAAAATGTTTCTTCTTTTTTTCTTTTTTTTTTTCCCAAACAAAGTCATCTAAAAATAAAATAAAAAATAAAAAGAGATGAAAAAGAAAATGAATTGCTTCTCTTGTAGAAGCATTAATCGGATCTTCTTTCTTGAAGATTGATCGTCTCTCGAGTCAATTTCTTGATTATGACGGCTCCTTTCTAGATGCATGTGTTGGTTCTCATGAATGGTGATTTTACATGTGATTTTTATTTTTATTATTATCTTCTAAAAAGGATCTTAATTCTTGTTAACTATTGGCCACTTATAATTTACGTTCAACCTTAGCATAGTAGGTTGTAGAATCGAACTCAACAAAGCCAACACTAAATTCTACATCTTGAAATGATGCCGTCCTTATTTTCGCCCAAGGATGACTTCTTTGAGATGGGTCAAAGTCGGCGGGTGTTTCTTTGAGTTGGATAATTTTTCATTTCTAGGGATTCAATGGGAAAGTCCAATGAGAAATAGACACCTACCTTATCTCTGCTGATTTTCATTTTCATTTTCTTTCCCTATTTTCTACCATTTACTCTAGACCCAGACAGCATATACCTCCCAGCAAATTCATGTTAGTTGCTTTTCTTCGCTTTGTGGTGCTGAATTTCTTAGTATCCAATCATTTTTTTGACATTGACCAAACACCACATGATGCGCGGGTCCGAAGAATGGTCTTGGTAAGTGGTGACCAGCAAAACAATAAAAAAGATCGTATTTTTTTTATATATAAGCCCAAGACTAGTAAGGGCTGAATAGTCAAGCGATTACCCTTCTTTTTTTTTCTTTCTTTTTTTTTTCCTTTTTCGATTGGAATGAACAAAATCATTTCAGAATTTGTAATTTTTTATTAAATTTTTATATTTAATATTTTTTATATTTTTCATAAAATTTCTTTATTTAAAAATACATGATTTATTGTTTTTTTATGCATTAATTTTTAAATAAAAAATTTTAATAATTTAAACTAAAATTTTAATTAAGAATTAAAAATAATTTAAAAATATATTTTTCACAAGAATGCATTAAAAAAATATATAATTAATATATAGGAGTTTTATAAAAATTAATTAATAAAAAATAATTTTTTATTTTTATTTAATGTTGATGATAAGATTACTTTTTGAAACTATATCCATTTGATCTATATATATTTATTTACAAATTAATCAATAATGTTAGGATAAAGAATTGTATTTGAATAATTGGATGGTTTCTTTAAAAAAATATGTTAATTATTTTATTAAAAAGAAGTTGGCTCTATAATGTTAAGAAAAAAAATATTCATAGCAAATAATTGATAATTTAATTTTTTTAATAAGTTTTTATCATACTTAGAGGACTTAGAAGAATTATCCGAAATATATTTTTAACGTTATATATGTGTGTGTGTGTGCGTGCGCGCGCATGCGCAACTTTTATTTAAAAATTTTAAAAATTCATGATATATATTAATCAATTTATTTAAAAAGAAAAAGAAACATGGTTTAAAATTTTATTCAAAAATGCAAATATAGAAAAAAATCATATTTGTCAATAAATAACATTTAATATAAAAAATATTAATTGGATTAAAATTTTCATAAGAAATTAAAAATTTAAAGAATATATATATATATATATATATATTTACGCTGTATGAAAAATATAAATAATAATATTCGATGTTTCATAATTTTTGTATAAAAATTCTTAATTAAAAATAAAAAAGAAGGAAAAGGACTAAGCCCCACATGCCTCGGCCAGGAGCACTAGGCCCGCATGCATAAGCAAAAGAAAAGAAACAAAGAAAAAAATTTGCTTTTAATCTGGCAACTTCTGCAATTTCTGGCAACATTGATTCATTGAAAATTTCATCGAAAAATCGAGTTTTATCATTTTCAACCTTGTAAAAACAAATCCGACATCGTTTTTGTCTAAAAAAAACCTCAAATTTACATAAATAACGTCAATAAACTCGTGTAGAAACCTCAAAACTCATTTTAATTCACATAAAACACACAAAAAATCAAATTAAAATAAAAAAAACTCAGAATATTTTAAAATCTCGATCTACCTCCTCCGACCATTTCATCACTTACCACCACTATAAATGGATTTTACTCTTCGAAGCAAACACAAACGATAGTAAGCTCGATCGTTATGATGGTCGAAATGGGCCTCACCGGTCCCCTCTCCCTACTTCCTTTTCTCTCTATTTTGTTTCTCTCTCCTCTTAGCATGTAAGGACCAAAACGAATGAAAAATGAAGTTGTAGGCTGAAAAAAGTTCAAAAAAGAGATTAAAGTGCATATTTTTTGCAAACACGATATTTTTAGAAAGAATGCACAATATTTCTCTCTCCTCTTAACATGCAAAAACAAACAAAAAATTGAAGTTGTTGATCGAAAAAAAAGTTCAAAAAATGAACTAAAGTGCATATTTTTTACAAACAGTAGCAAGTATAATATTTTTAAAGAGAATAAAGAGTAAATAAATAGTAAAAATAGAGATAGTGCACAATATGTAAATAATGATTTTCGTTTTGTTTTAGTTAAGCAATTCTGCTTGGGGTAGAATGAAAGTATGTAGTTGGCAAGTTCATTAAATGGCGATTGGAGCTCCTTATCTTTGTTCTTAAGCTTAAAGGAAGTGTTTGATTTGAATCCTACCATAATCTTTTTATTATCACTTTTGCAAATTTATTCCAATTATTTCTCACACACTTGTGAGATATTAAATAGCACGGAAGAATTTTTAGCAGTTGAAGCTAGTTTCGATTTCATTAGTTGCAAAGGAACTTGACCTTTGCATGTTAGGTTATCTTATTAGCATTACATTTTTCAAGTTTTAAATCCTTGACTAACCTTGTTGTGTCCAAAAATAAACTTTTGTGACCGGCGAAACAGTCAACAATTTCGCGAAACAAAAGTGTTGCGCTAAGTCTAAACTCTAAATATTAAAAGTAATCAAATTACCTTTCATCAAACATCTCTCCTTTTTTTTTCTTTTTCAAAGAAAAAAAATCCTCCGACTTCATTTTAAAGAACTCCGGGCTAAATATTTTCATATAAACAATACTTTTCAATGGTTTTGTTTATCTTTTCTTTGTTAATATAAATATGTATAACCAATTTAAAATCAGTGTTATTATTACATAAATAAAAGGAATGAGATCTCATGTTAAAAAAAGAATGAGACCTCATGTTCATGTCTCTCATTTATCAATTTTTTAAATAAATTAGAATCCACTCATAAAAAGAAATGAAATATGCAATTAGAAGTCAATTAATGGGTAACGTGTAGAGAAAATTACGTGATTAAACTGACATAGACTCAAATGTACATAATGTAGAGAAATTTTAGTTAGTGCCTATGATTCATTTTCAGCACCAACCCACTTTTAAGTCTCCCACATTTGCGTGGTCAAGCAAAGAAGACGAGCTGTGGAAGGTGTTGGATTTGTCTACACCATGGTTGATGCACACGCGTAAGAATCCCGGTCTTAACTTCTAATGAAGGTCATTTTCATGAGCAAATCATATTTTAAAAGGAGTAAGTGACTTGTCTTGAAAGAGAAGGAGAAAGACTACGACAATTCAACTAGGATGTTTAACAATAC